AAACAAAACAAAACGAGGAGCTGATACCAAGGGCTCAAGCAGAAAGCAAATGTATTGTGAGTGATGACGGCAACAAATGTGCTTGACACCATGGATGGATGGATGGATTGTGAAAAAAGAGTTGTATGAGCCCCCAATAAAATGATTAAAAAATAAATATTTTTAAAAAGTTAAGAGATAAACGTTCCTGCCAGTCCGACTCAAATGTTTTATTTTCTGTTATAGTACCGTCCTGACGGTGCGGGTCCATCAATCAAGAGGGTATGGATAGACCACACCAGAAGGATTCGATTTGGAACTCCTACTAATCAAACTGGACTTTATCTTAAATACACTGCTAGCGGATTAAATAAACTGAAATACCGTCACATGCCTAAGGCTGAAATGTCCCACTGTGAGAAGAAGCAGACCACTACTATGCCAAGGCAGTGAGTTTGAATTTTGCTTTTGTAAAAGAGCATTAATGTTTGTTGCCCTATCTCCAACCCTCGCTCTCAGTGTAAATAGTGTCCTGTCACCTAAATTGTTAATCTGTACAAACCAAATAGCCAGGTATGTTAGTCTAAAAAACTGCCCTATACAGGTATTCTTTCTTTTTCTTGACAGTGTTTTAAATTCTATGACTAAATTAATGGTAATATCAGTAGAACTACCCATGTGCCTCATGGGGATAATTTAAAATGCCCTTCAGTAGAATAATGATGTCTTTGAAGTGAACCAGGGACATATATAGACCATAGACATACGAATAGATTTTGAGCTTGCACTTAATTGTAGCCCCAATCTAAGAACAATTAGTTCTTATGACAGGACCATGAAATGATCATTGAAGATATGGGTGCTGTAGCAAAAGGTGGTGAAGAAGCCAGATGGTGGCCAGCTGTCAGAAAGAATAGCACCTGGGGTCTTAAAGCCGTGGTTCTCAACCTTCCTAATGCCGCGACCCTTTGATACAGTTCCTCATGTGGTGACTCCCACCCATAAAATTATTTTCATTGCTACTTCATCACTGTCATTTTGCTACTGTTATGGATTGGGCAACCCCTGTGAAAGGGTTGTTCAACCCCCAAAGGGGTCGCGACCCACAGGTTGAGAACTGCTGTCTTAAAGGTTTGTCTCAAAACCAGCAGCCATCTAAATGAGGCATCATGAAAGTTCACACAGAAAAAGCACACCAACCTATGTGATCCAAGAAATGCAAATAACAACCAGACCTAGAGGAAGGAATGAGATGAGAGTTTAAATTCTGAACACCTGATTTGCAGATGACAGTGAAGGCCCAAAACCCATTTGCAGGGTCCCTCCCTGGGATTAAGCCTCTGATGAATCCCCTCTGGCTACAGACCAGAGAGGGAAAGGCCTTGGTACCAGACAGAGTACATTGTAGGTAAGTCAAAATGTGACACGTTGTCATTGATCTCCCTGGACTCAATGTATAACTGCTCCAGTTTTTAAAACAGTTTCTGCTTGGTTATAGACGGGTTTTTCTTTGTTTCATTGTGGCACTATTGTTGGGCCATTTGTTTGTATTTTGTGTGTTTTCCTGTATATGAAACCCAGATTAGTTAAAACTATAGAAACAACAACTGGATCATTCGACTCAAAGGGATCTGACAGGGGAGCTGGCAGGGAGCTAACTGTGATTTCAAGGAAGAAGAAATGTCCTGAAATTGTGTTATTGGTTGTACAAGTCTTATAAATGTTATTGAACTATTGAAATGTATGATGTGATTC